TTTGCGCCGCCACTAAAATCACAGCGGACAGAGCGTCTGTTCCCACAGAAGAACGGTTGTGGCAGTGCCAGCCTCGTTCCTTGTCGTCCACGGCGATTTCGGATGTGACGTCACCTCGGATAGCGCGAACTGGCCTTGATTCGAGGCTGTGGCAGTGCGATTCTGACGGAGTGAATTAAGCTGCGCCGCGCTGATCTCGAAAGTGGAGCGTCACATATCGGAGAGGTTTTGCGCCATAATTGGTGCAGTGTGAATTCCTTCATATATTCTGCCCGTTGGGGGAAGAAAATAGGTAGGAGCGAGGCCTGGAACCCACTGAGACGGAAGTAAACGAAACCTTTCGGTCAACTGCGCCGGCGCGATGCTCGATGTGTGTGAACGACTTGTGCCGCGCGAGGTGTTGCTGCTCATACTATACCGGCTAGATTTTCGTGGCGCCATGAAAATCAAAGCTATTCAACGTATTTATAGTATGAAAATAGCCTAAAACATTGCCTGCGGCTTATCACCACCCACAGAAGAAAGGTTACCTCAATCGTACGCCTCTAGATTAACTGCGATTTCTTTCTGTTTCTTATCCGCAGCTTTGCTATGCCGACATCACTTTCTTTGACTTCTTGAACAACTTTCTTTCGAGGGGTAAAGAAGATGTTCCTGGAGAACTTGAGAAGTTCCCGCTCTTGGTGGAGCATTATAAACGGGTGTTAAACGTACCCGAAATATCGGAGTGGATAAAGAAACGCCCTGTTACCGAATTCTAAGCTTGTGGTCTTGCTATTATAGCAACTGTTAAGTTAGAGAAAGACCCAAAGCAGGGATTCTAGCGTATGCTGTAGTTAAACGACTCCGTGCGTCACCGTTGTTTTTTTAAGGTCCGGACGAATAAAGAAAACTTTAAAAGTTAAATTTTTGTATTGATTTTGTTTCCAATGTGCTGATATCGACATACCCGGCTATATCTGGGGGCACTGCTGGGAATCTTGAGTCAGGGTGAGCCAAAAACTAAAGTAGCCAATATAAAAAGTTTCTCCTTCCTCTCTCTTTTTTTCCTCTCCTTTTCCTTCGCTGGTGTGATTTTTCCAGCTTATCGGGCGCAAAAAACCTGTCTTTTGGCCCATTTTTTACTGCAAGTTTAGCTAGGTACAGAGGCTTAAGCTAAACTGCAGCAGCCAATCAACAACTCATGCAGATTCAGGGGTATTTTTTTATCTAAACGTTCTTTTTACTATTGTGCCTGTAAATTAGCATTGATTCATATGATACTTGTGAACGTTTTTCCTCCTTTCAAGGCATAAAAGCATCGTTTGTGTTTTTTGTTGTTGTTAAATATGTATGCCTGCCTATACTAACTTTTCATTGACCAGATAATTAATAAGTCTGATTTATGCGCAGGTTACAAAGCTTCACCAAAACGTTTTGTCCACTTGCAGTGCTTGCTTATGTTTGACTAGCGTGAAATAACCAATCAAAATGCTTTACGACCATAGAAAAACCCTTAAATGTTTTTCAGGAAGTAACGACTAGGAAAAAGAGATGAGCAAACATATCTTACATCTTGACCTCATGAGACCACTTTAGGGCCGGGGAATTGTCCTAATTCAATGTGTCACTTTGTACTCTTTTTACACCTGGTTGTCAAACCTTAGGGATGAACGTCACTATATTTCCCTTAATTTTTATTCAAAAATCACGCCCTTGTGTCCTTCCTACCAATCAAAAACAATAGGCTTATTTAGCAACAGAACGGGATCGTCATTTGACGACGGGAAAGCACGCGGAAAGGACTAAACTAGACTTCCGGTGCCCAATTTTCCGCTCTGCCATTGGTCAAGCTAGTTGTTTGATTTGCGCGGTCCGTCGTCAACTGACGCTCCCATTCTGTTGCTAAATCAGCTTAATAACAATCTCACTCCGATAATTACCATGATTGGAGTCCCATTCACAATCCTCACATTAGAAGTCAATAGGGAGTTTAAGCAACCGACGTTTTTGAGCGACGCTTGTTAACCAGAAGTAAGTCTTTTTCTTCTTTTAAATATGCCTTGGCAGCACCAAATTTGTATTGCTAAATGTTTTTACTCTTAAAGAGACGATTTGCCCCAAAATTTGTTCAAGGTCATGACTCAGGTGTGCAAAAAGTCTACTTCCGGTTGACGTGCGTCGCTTAAAAACGTGGCTGCTTAGGGTTCTCCTGAAAAAAAAAATGACAGAAAATTGAACTAATTCACCTCCCATGAAGGTAATTTCCAACACCATTTTGTCTGTTTATTCTTTGCGCGGAAGCCTCATCAAAATTGCGCGGGTGTCACTATTGCGTCGTTATTGCGCAATTATTTCGATGGAACCACCCCATATATTATTATGAGTTTACCCAGAAGGTATCTAGTTGCGTTCTCCTACCCCGATTATAGCAAAATTAACAGCAATTGGCACACGGCCTGGCCAGTACCTAACGCATGCGCAAAACCATATCACCCGGAAGTTAGCAGACAGGGGGCGTCCTTATTAGGGATCATCAAAATATCAAATATCAGCAAGTCCACAGCGACAAACCAATCAGCATGATAAAGCCGTCTGATCTGTGAACATCGGACTCTAGCCCATGGAATAGTTTCCATGTTAAGAGCCTGCAGGCTCGCAATTGCAAGGGTAGTGGATTACTTTCACATTGAAGATCGTGCTCAGTTACTCAGTTGAAGTACTCGTTACCGTTAGAAGTAATATTTACTATTTATCTCACTCATAACTCACGAAAGTTCATGAACAAGTAATAAGCATGAAAATGTTTATTTTCCTGACTTCATTGAGCGCGTTTTACGAGCACTCGAGAAACGCGTAACGAGCACTGCGAAAGCTCGCGCGCGAGACGCACGCGCCAATGGAGAGACTGGGTTCTAAATGAAACCAATATGGCGGCGGATTATTGACCAGAAAGAACACGTGTGTAGTAAATTGGAGCTAAAGTAACATAATTAGACTTCTGGAACTCGGATTTGAGCTTCAACAGTTCTTTTACTTACTCGTCAACACTTGGCTTTATTCATCATCTAAAGATTCTCGCACGTGGCATGGCAGAAGTGAAAAATCTGGCACGGGTCTGAAGAGGTAAGCTTGTGTTTGATTACATGTAGCTTAACTTAACTTAAGCTTAAATTTAAGATTCTTTCGTAGTAAACAATGGTCGCATAAGCAAGTAATATTGGTAATGGTAATTAAAGGATTAAGCTTGTGGCTTAAATCATCGATCAAGTAAATCCAGGAGATCTAGTACATATTAAGGTCAAACATGAAATTAATTTTGTCAGGTACAGGATACACGTCACAGGTCACAGGTCATGATCGCAAGTGCAGGTCATTGCTCTGTTGATAAATAACTGCAATATATGACTGAAATAAGCTAAAACTCTATTTCAGATTTTGATTCTTCATGGAGAGAGTTTATATTTATGTTGTCGACCTTTGTGTCAGTTGTGAAATTTATGTGCATGGATCATCTAGTAAGGCAGTAACACAACAGAGCAAAGCTAACCCGGCAACTGATGAAGTTCGCATGGAGAGCCAAAACCATGGTCTTGCCTGATTAGAAAGGGTAATAACAAAACAGTCGCAATTAAAAAGACATAGATATTACCAATCAATCATTGCTTAATCAGCAGTCTCGACTGAGTCACAATGCAGTTCTCCATAGTTGATGTAACTTCAGTTTAAGGTGCAATCCATTCTTCAAAATTTGGATCTGAAGTCACTATCCAAGAGAATTAAACATACTGCAAAAAAAAACACTAACGAGCTGGACCCAGCATGACAAAACTTTACAGGAAACCATCACATTCGCTGACAAAAGAAAATCGCCTTTAGTTATTCATATCCATGAGGCACTTTGGAGAATAACTTAAATGACCTGAAACCCTTATTTAGTCACAAGAAGAGCTTTACGTTTCAAAAGAGGTTAATGAAAATGCTCTTGCATTGGAGGGAAAATTTTGCTGACCAGAATATACAACAACCACAGAAAATTAATTTGCGTGTCACGTACCATCCATGACCTCTCAGTATGAAACAAACCTTTAATTTGATCGACACATGTCAATATTGTTCAACTAGCCGAGCCATGCAATCAGTCGCTACATGTATGTTCACTATGCAGGTTTTCAAAATCGAGGGGTTTGTCTGCAAACATTTCCTTTCTTCCCCTCCCCCTTCCCCAGTTTCCAGTATTTGGCTCTTGTTCATTTCTCACATGGCCAGAGAATCCGGTTCCTCGGGTCTTTCTTTGCTCCGAACGGAAACGCTTGCTACACAGGCTACACAGGAGACTAGGAGTTGACTTTTCTTTTAGTTGGTCCATGTTTGACTCTTGGCCAAGGTATCAACAAATCTCTTCCAAACCAACAAATCTCTTCCAAACCAAAGGTTTATACATGTAGGGGCTAGCCATTAGCAGTCCTTTTTCTATGTCTGCCATAAAATCAACAGAGAAAGCAACTGCCCTCTCATAGACAGTTCCCATAGCAATGCCTTGTGTTTGTATGAAGACATAGTGTCTTTTGTTGAATTAATGAAATAATCCTCTTCGAGTATGAGCCGTAAAAGTTCTCATAATCGTTTGTGGGAATTGGCAAATTATGCTCATAGTGCTTTTCATAATGAGGGCAGATTTTTTTAAGCATCCATACCCTCTGTTTGAGGGTTGTTTGTTTAGAGATAACTCACATCTAGAGTGATTAAAACCACATCGTTAGAGATTTGCGTGTTTTCAATAAACTTGATGAAGTGGGTAGTGTCTATCAAATATGACTCCTGTTTTTGCGCGATAGGTTGGACGACTGTAATAGTGAGTCAACAATTAAAACTGGACATAATAGTGCTCAGTAGGGCCGCGCTACTACCAGAAACGATTGGTCTGCAGCCGACTGGTATTTTCTTAAGGATTTTTGTCAGTGTGTAAAATTCTGGTATGCGTGATTGGTTAAGGCCGATTGTTAACCATTTGTGTCATTGTGTCAATATTGCCTGGAGGGGATAGTTCGTTGACTATTCGATTCACTTTTTGGGCAGTGTTTAGCACAATAGGATTTGTAAGGGGCTTGTAGAATTTATCATCAGATAATTGTTGTGAGCCTTCTTCTATTTTTGTGACGGTGTTCATAGTTCATAGTGTAGTTATTCCTTTATCAGCTTTTTTAAGATTGATTTTGCTGTTACATTCAAGTGAGCCGATAGCTTTTCTCTTGTTTGCTGAGATATTACAATCATTATGTATCTAAAGGAGCATAGAGAAATTATTGAAATCCTTTAATAAGGATTTATTGGAGCTAGGAACAGGAGGGGTTGGTATAAATTTAAGACCTTTAAGTCTGGAGAGCATTTCTTATTTATCTGACCCTTTTTAATATAATTATCGACTTTTTATAAAATCCTTTGAGTCAAGAAAAGACACACCAGTATACTGTTGAACTTGTTTACTTACATTGACTGCTTCACTGTCTTTACAAAACATTTTCTGTAGCTCAGATAGTTGAGCTTGCATGGAGGCGAGATTACAAGTTTGCTGAACTTTCTTAGGTAGTTTTCTACGTCCTGGACCTGGATCTGGTTATGTTAGGGGTGATATATAAATGGTCCATGAAAATTTTTAACTGCTTGCAAAATTTAAACGAGTGCTCGCTTGCTTTTGCTCCCCAAATTTTTGCAGTTGCTCGCAAGCTCACTTTCTTGTCAGTATATTGCTCGAAATTTTGTAAATCCTTGTTTGGGTTAAAGTAAATGTAATTCTGTATGGTGCTTATTTCCTATAAATATGGCTATCAAGCTCAGTGGAAATGCACACGATAAATGACAATGATAAATAATAAATTAGCTAATGTAGCTTATATGGTT